AGGGCATAGGGACACGTGCGGACGTGACCTGTGGGGGCTAGGTCTGGGGTCCCAAACCTCAACTCACTCTTTTACTTCCTGGTTGTGTTGGAGAGAGCATTCAGGGACATCCTTGGAGCCAGAACATACAGTGGTCATCTGTTTCTAGTGTGATTTTTCTCCGAATAAACATCAATCAGCCTATATTGTGTCCCAGAATCTTATTTCCCACGAAATACTAGTCCACTTATTTTTTACTGTTTTATAAATTCTATTATATAAATACATGACATAATACTTATTCAAAAACCTCCAGTAGACATCATCATTTCACTGAAGCATAACCTGTTAAGATCAGAAAGAAGACAAATATGCACTGTATCGTCAATGCCGTTGTTCTGGAGGTCCTTGACTATGCAAAGAGATAAGTAAAAGGAATAAACTATGTGTGAACTAACGGATACAAGAGATAAAACTGCCATAATTTGTAAACTATGTCTGTCTACAGAAGAAGTCAGAGAAAATAAAGAGGCAAAACAGTAAAAATGATGAGTTTAGCAAAATAACCTGACTATAGAATAATGTTAAATAAATACCTTTTATATCAACCAAGAATAATTGTTGCTTAGTAAATTTATTTTTGAATGGGAAGGAAGCACATAAGTATTCCCTTAAATTTAAAAGGAAATAGTATCGGTAAAAAATTACCTATGTTGTTTCGATATACCTGGCAGCATAAAATAATTCTATGTCCTATTTTGGAGCAGATTTATAGATATTTAACACTACATTAGAAAATGCATAATTGCATAAGCTAGAATATAATATAGCATTGTGATGTTTATGACGGCAGCACAATACAGTGTTCTGAAACATAATATGTCGTGAAAACACAAGACTTTGCCAGGGACCACAAGACTTGGGTGGCCTGATTTCCTATGATGTTAAAGTCAGCAGAATGAGGTTTCCTAAGCTTCCCAGAGGCTGCAATATACCTGAGACCATAGCTAGGCAGAGGCCTGTTCAAAGGCACTTAAAGGAACCCTCCTCACCAAAACATACACCACCCGCATTGGGCCACCCAGGAAGCTGAGGCTCCTTAGGCTAATTAGAGTAGCCTAGGAAAAAGGAATAAGTCTCTGATGGGTTCAATGTCAGCAAGCCACAGACAAAACGTTGGGTTTGGTGGATAAAGATGCTATTCTGTGCTATGAATGGGCTATTCAACCAGTGACGACAGGACCCTCAACTATCCATGCAGGAGAAGACATATGACATTACTGTAGCTCATCTTATTGAACAGCATACTTAGCATACTTTTTCTTTTTTTTTTTTTTGCTTTTGTTTGTTTGTTTTCTCTTTCCACATAGCCCTGGCTGTCCTGGAACTCACAAAAATCTGCCTGTCTCTACCTTAGCACATCTGTAAGCCAAACCTTGAAATAAGAAGGCACAAGATACTTAACAAAACTATTACAGGGACACATTCAATAATCAAAGAGTGTCTAAAGAGATCCCCTACCACCACAATCCCACCAAAAACAAAAAAATCCCCAAAACAGAGTCAGTCAAGAAAAATAAAGCTCCAAGCCTGGAGCAACAATATCTGGAGAATGGCAGACTGTAAATGGCAAATGTGACATCTGACATAGCAGGGGAAGAGTCATGGTCTGCATGTCTATGTGGGACTCTGGTTCAATGTTCCTCTGAAGCTCACACCTACCAGCCCAATTTGGTGCATTGCTAAAAACAATAGCAGTAGGGTTCTCAATAAGTTTTGCAGAGGCTGGAGTAGGTCTGACGAGTTTCAGGGTAGAAGCTTACTAGCAACACCAAAAGAAACCCTCCCGACCAACACATTACCACAACGAGCAAAACAGGAGCACGCATCCCCAGCTGTCTGCTGCAGAGCCTACTAGTGTCTTTTAATCACACAGTGCTAAGGAACAGAGATAGACTTGCTGATGGCAGTACTTGATGATGGCAGTATTTGTCTGTAAGAAGAACTTAAACATAAATTCTGGGAGACAAAACTGTTCTGATTGTGACAAAGGGGGTTTAATAAGGGTGAATGTTTCCATCATGGAATAACCAACAGGAAAGCTGCAATCCTACCTCAGATTCCAGGGAATGAAGTACAGGGACCTCATAGCACTCAGTCGCCAGGAACAACAGGTCGCAGGGAGGGCTCTAGAATGAGGGAGAAGAAACAGTGTCCTAGAGCACCACACACGAAGGTACTCATGAGAAGCAGCAGCAAATCCAGGCCTCTTTCAGGAACTGGAAGGCAGTCTGCAGCAAGCTCACATGACAGAGGACACAGAGCTCAGGCCAGCCAGGGTACAAGCTCTGTAGACCGGGGGTGGCAAAGACAGCATGGGAAAGTCCAGCAGCAGACAGGAACATTTTGTGATCCAGAGCTATTTAGATCCTGTGTTTTCTGCAACCAGCAGGATGGGAGCCCCGGGTCTTGTTTCACAACTCCCTTCCTATGTCCCCCGAGTCAGGAGCCCCCCCACACCTTAGGCTGGCCTCCCACTTTAGGCTGCACACCAGGACAAGCCAAGGGATGAGGGGGCAGAGAAGAAAGCTCTGCTTTTACACTCAATGTTTTCAGGAGGGCACTACCAGCAATCGAACAGGAGGGGGCGACCTGGTCCGGGACCTTGTATGTAGTGGAGCAGCTTTGGTGCCAGCTGGCTTTCCTGGGCACAGCTGCCCAGGAGGTGTGCTAGAAGCCTCTTAGGCCCTCCCCGAGTTAGGAGGCAGCAGCAATGTTCAAGCATCAAGTGCCTGAGAGATGCTGGACCATGGCAACATCCAGAACTAGGAGTTCTGTGTTGTGCAGAGGAGTAGGGAGGCGCATGCTAATTTGGGCCAGAAGCTTCAGTAAGGACAGGAGCCTCTCTCTGTGCTGAGGTTAAAAAGGGCTAGTAGTAGGCAGACTGGACCAGGATAAGAGGATGCAAGTGTGTGCACAAAGCCCACCTTCGATGCAATCACCCAGCCAAAATATGGACCACTAGGCAAAAAGAGGCTGTGGGTGATGGTAGGGTGGGGTTGCAAGAGGGTCCCCTGCCGAGGAGGACTGCCCCAGCAGCTGTTGGGAAACAAGGCAGGGTCCCTCAGGCAGCCAAGACAGCCCGAGGCACAAAGTGTGATGGTTTGTGGTATGGCAATAATCACTGGCCACTGTCCTCATCCAGTTTCCTGGGACCTTGGAGATGGTCAGTATCCATTCCTGGTTGGACAACTTCCAAGAGTTGGTCCAGGGGCCTGGCAGACACCCCAGCTTACTGGCCACCATGGAATGCTGCCGGGAACAGGGTATAGATAGACAGGAGACTTGGAACTCCAAAGCTGTATGGAGGCAGATGAGGGAATGACAGTTATGGAGAGATGCACAGAGGAGAGCAGGCCAAAGGCAGGGCACTAGGCACACAGAGCACAGGTGCACAGGGCACAGTGACCCAGAACAGCACCCCAGGAACATCAGCCACATCATGACACCTGTCCTGCACCAGCAACAGCATGGCCTCACAAGGGAAGCATGCGTGTGTATCTTCTGCTTTGCCATGGCTTTGGGAAGGTTCTGCTGCCTCATAGATGGCAACCATGCAGAGAAGGTAGCCTTGCTGAAGCAGGAGCTAAGGGGAGTTGGGACAATTCAAGGAAGGGGCAGGATGTTTGTGTGTGTCTGTGTGTGTGTGTGTGAGAGAGAGAGAGAGAGAGAGAGAGAAAGAGAGAGAGAGAGAGAGAAGGAGGGAAAGAGAGGGAGGGAGGAGAGGAGAGAAAGAGAGAGGGAGAGGGAGATGGGGAGAGAGGGAGGGAAGGAGGGAGAGGGAGTGGGAGAGAGAGAGAGAGAGAGAGAGAGAGAGAGAGAGAGAATGATTTTGGCAGGCCTGGACGCATGGCTCAGTGCACAAGGGCTCCTCTTCCTTGCAGAGGTATGTGGATCTCAAGAACAACATGGCTCTCTGCAGGCCAGTCATGAACAGCACTGACAGCATCTTCCTCACTATCCTTGTGGGGAGTTCCTGGATGCTCCACCTCTAGGAAGGGCTAGATAAGGAGGGAGGTTCCCCAAAAGTGGGACAGCTGCCAACCCTCTCACTTTGCCAGGATGCAGGGCTTGTGTCCCTTCCTGAGGAAGGAAGGGGGTATGCCGGCAAGTGGTTTTGACAGCATCTCAAGGGGGCACATAGATGTGAACCTAGTAGGGGCCAGTCAAGTGGAAATCCCTCCTGGGAGAATCCTCCACCAGATGGGCACAGGTGGGTGACCCAGACTCTGAGGGGTGCACAGACAAATGCCATGGGCTGGGGCCTTCAGCCCAAGCAGGCCGATCAAGAAGCCCAATGTTGCTTTAGGGTGTCCAGTACTCAGGGTCCCCAGGTGCCTGCTTGCTGTCTCTTCTCCTTGTCTACACAATCACACACACACCCACACACACACATGCGCGCGCGCAGGCACGCACACTTAATCTACCCCCGCCCTCACCCCTCCCCTCAGCCCCTCTCTTGAAGCTTATCTATCCTGAGTACAGCAGTCCCTTTCTGCCCCTGCCTCCTGTGAGTCTGGTGAGTGCACCTGTCAGGGAGCAGGGGCCCAGACAGCTGGACTCTGTGTGGCATTTTGTCTCCATTTGTTCAGACCTCGAACAAACTCAAAGGCGAAGCTCTGCCCCCTTTTCATTGCCTGCCAATCAAATCAAAGCACACAAGTTTATTGATGACACACACAGGTGGGGGCTTGGGTGGAAGAGGGTCAGTCAGTACAGTGGACAGCAGGGGAGTGCATTTTCCTGAATTTGACTAACATGTTAGCTGTCCATGAGAGAGTGTAGAATTGGAAAGAGAAACACTTGAACCTAAAGAGAGGCAGCACATGCAAGTTGGGCACAACTCCCATATGGGTGTAATTTCTGCTAAGTGGTCCTGCTGAGACAGGGACATCACCACTGGCAACACAGCATTGGTGATGCTGTGGCTTGATGTTCCTTATCTGCATCTAGCAGCCAATGGTGAGTGATCCCTTTACCCTTTGCTGCAAGGGAACCATTTAGAATGCACTTGACCTGCAGACTACAAACCCAGAAGTTGCCCAGAGCTCTGGGGTGCCCTGCCTGGCCAAGAAGACTGTGGCCCCCCATTTAGCGGCTGGAACTTTTGGCCAAGGAGGAGCTGCTGCCTGGCTAAAGCTGCATCCTTGCTTGCACCCACTGCAGCCTCTTTGTCCTCAGTAGACTGCCTGGGCTCTGGGTGGATTCAGTCTCCTTCTGCTCGAGACCGCCACTTATGAGAGAGGGCTTCCATAAGCATCTCTCTGCTCCCACTCCTGATATACAGGAACATGAATGAGAATAGCGTTTGGGCAGCCAGCGCTTTGCCTACCAGCACCGGCTTTTCAGACAATCCCAGCAGCGGTTCCAGTCCCTGAACTTTTGCACATCCACTTCCCTCAGATATCAAAGAAAGCTGCAGGTCTGCAACCGACTTGGCAAGCATGTTATTAATAACTGTCATGCTCATTAGCAGACTTAATCCGGCCTGCTGCAGAAATGACTTGCAGCAATGAAACGCTGCCTCTCGACACACTTCATCGATGTACATCTTAATTGGGCCCTGATTTCCAATACTGGTGTTTGGGTTTTCAGGGACACACAAAACCTTCTCCCTCACAGTGGGCTGGGGTGTGGGGATCCTGTTTCCAACCACTGAAAGGCTGGCCAACAGCCTACTGACATTGTGGCTGAGGGAAAAGCCAGCATTTGTGGGCTTGGTGAACATTTTTTTCCCTTCAATGGAAGCACATTTGGTCAGGGCAAGATCTCAAATAAATTTCTTTGTCCTCAGAGTTCCATATATCAATTTTTCAGTGGATCAAAGGGTGATTCTTGTTTATTGATATGACAGTGTCTTTGTGACTTTCTGAATCCTTTCACAAATTTTAATTCTGCCTCATCCTTGGGACTTCAGCTTTTTCTGATCCTTGAGTTGAGACTAATGCCTTCTATCAGCCCTGCCTGCAGCAATCAACTCTTTTGGTCTTTTCTTACCTAATTACTCCTTTGTTGCAGTTGTGGATGGGCATTCTAGCCCCTTTATGACCTGATCTGCAAACCAGGTTTCCATAGTTCATCAGCCCAGCATAGCTCATATCCATCAAACCTCACTAATGGATCTCATTGACAAAGTTCTTTAGTGATAGTATTCTTGGTCCATATTATTAGTCATGTCTCCTGAAGACAGTCTCTTATTGTCCTAAGAGCAATACAATCTTTCAAGAAGGACGTGCCAATGCCTAATCTCCCCCCTCCCTTCCTCCCTCCCTTGCTGCCTTCCTCTATTTCTCCCTTGCTCCCTCTCTCATTTCAAAATTAGAATGTCCAAATGTTTCTCTCTGCAATTCCTTCTCAGGTGTAACACCTGCCTTTTTATGGTACTTAAACACAATGGGATATGAAGCCAGGGAAAGCAAGGCTGAGAGAGGCAGAAACAATGGTGTTTCTGGATCTTACATTCCGAGTGGTCATGTCCAATTCCCACAACTTCTCCATGACATCACACTACATGGAGGGATGTCCTTCCTCCGTTTTTAGATTTGCTACAGGAAAACAGACAAGAATCAAGTTTGGTCTGTGCGCTGGCACCTATGTCTCAGGTATGTCCCCTCTCGATTCCAGTTTTAGAAGATGGCCATTTAAACCCAGTATGTTAGAAGCCTGAAGAAGGTTAACTAACTGAAACCCTTTATTTTAAACAACTGCAGTATATTCATAAAAATGAACAAAGGGCAAATACAAGCGGAGTACAGCGATATGTGTGAAAATACCATAAGGAAACCCATTAATCTGCACATTAACTAAATAAAGTCGAAACATTGTCTACCATTTAGGTTTTCAGCACTGGTCAGTTTCTGACCTGTATGCCTCTCTACAAATGCTGAGCTAGTTTGCTCTGCAGCTTCCCAACCCTCCCACCTACACTACATGCTGGTACTGTCTTCACAGAACCAAAGGAAACAGGGATTAATGATTTTGTGATACAGAGCTTCACTTCAGCCAAGGTCTTCTGACTGGCTCAAGCCTGTTGTTTTCTTAAAAGAATACAAACTTCATGAGTAACAAATACACTGCTAAGGCCTTCCTCTTCCCTTCCTTTGGTATGTGCTGCCCTCTATAGACACAGAAAAGAAATACCATCTATGTGTAAAGTCTATCATTGTTTAGGGCTGGATGATGGGCTCCCAACTTTTACCAATTTAGGACTCTGTAGAACATTCCCTGAATATCAATGCCAGGCTCCCCAAACCAGCTCCACACCCCTCAACTTCATGGATCATTTACAGAACCAAAATGAGCTTGGTCTGTTTGTAGGAGCCTGTGACTCAACTTTGACCCTAGGTTCCCAGGTAGTCTTTATTTTCTTATCAAATTGTTCATAACCTGAGTGGTTCCTTTTTCCTTTTACATAACTATAAATGCCATCTTGCTGAGCTGATATCTGGATCAAAATAGCTTTTCCTCCACAGTTCTTGGTCAGCTAAGACTCATGCCCTCAATGAGTCATAGTCTCCAGTTTCCAATCCCACCAGCTTTTGTCTCGACAGTGCTGGGATTAAGGGCAAGGCCATCATGACACACCGGCCCTGTGTTGCTTTTTGTCAGAGCATTTTATTATAGTAACAGAAATGAACCAGAACGCTTCCTAAAATAGTGCCCTTCTCCTCAGTTTGGAGGTACAGATAAAATCAGCTTGCTTAAAGCAGAAGGTTCTAGAACAATTTAACAATAATTTGTACAAATTTACAGATGCTGAGTATGAACTAGCTGGAGAGTAAAAGCTCCTAGACAGCCCCTCTTAGAGAAGTATAGAAGAGGGGCATGCTAACACAGAATCTCTCCTCTCTCTTCTCCCTCTCACACCCCTCACCCCTCTCTCTCTCTGCCTCTGCGCTTCCTTTATAAAGGGAGGTATTGCACTGTAATTGATTTTACCTAAGAAAGATGGGATAGGTTTTCTTTTGAAGATAAGAGGAGGAAAATCATTCATGTTTTTTGGCAAGTTGGAACAAAAACAGCAATTATAAAGTATTGCCTGAATACCCCCAATAGCAAAAGGCTGGCCATGATGTCACCTGTCCTGGATCAATGGTCCAGCTCCAGCAGTTGTTTCCTCAACCAAAACCTGAGGTATTGGAAAGGCTCACACCTTGGAACTTGCTATCCACAGAGGGATGTCTCTGTACAGATGCCTCGTCCATGACAAAAGCACAGATGTCTCAGGGGCAATAATTCTTGTATAAGGGAGCACAGCTGTTTAATCAAGAAAATACTGAAATGAAACTACAACATAAAAAAAAAAACTCCAAAATCCCATTCCTAGAGAAAAGCAGTGGGGGATGGGTAATACTGTAGAAACAGGATTATTGGAATTGCAGAAACTACTCAATGCTTCGCATGAGTCAGGAAAAAAAATCAAGAGAGAATGAAGAGCTAAACTTCAGCAAAAAGAACTTGGGGATGTTTCATCTAACCACAGGCCCACCTCTGCCTCTGAGGTAACCTTGAAGAAACTGGCCCGTATTCCCTGATGGAGTTCCTAGTCCTCAAAGTTGCAGAGCAGACTACATTACTAAGGATCTATGATTATTGATTTCTACCGTTCTGGTGGCTCTCTGAATAACCAGCTCAAAGGTTTTGCATTTATTTTCCCTAACTCAGAACATGTCCAACAATGAAATGTCTACTTTAGGAACATTCATTGAAAATGTGTGAAGGCAAATATTTTTATCTACTAATGCCTGCGGCGTGGAACATCAATTAAGGCTTAAAAACATTGACTGCATCAAGTGAGAGGAAATCCTGGAGAAAAAGATGTTCTGAGGAAGAAGGCTATGGTAATGCTTCTGCCAGTTTCAGAAAGTCATAACACATGCACACATCTGGGGACATTTCTGAGCACCACCATGGCACAGATGTTTAGTCCCACCCCTGGAAGCAGAAGCTGGTGGCTCTCTGTGAGTTTGAAGCCAGCCTGCTCTACATAGGAAGTTGTTAGCCAGCCAGGGATACCCAGTGAGACTCTTAACTAGAATGAAAATATAAATATAAATACAAAGACAAAGATAACCCTAAGATCTCACTTCTGAATGAATCTGAAGTGTAGAATGTGAAACATACTCAGAAGTGAAAGCCAAGGAAAAGTTCTAAATTATGTTCTAGATTATGCAAACAAGTCTTTAAAGTATGCCTGCAACACACACAGCCCATGTGAAAACAATGGGACATTTTGTTGATTTGATTCCCTCTAGTTGCAAGTGTTGAAGGAAGTCTCTATTGACTAGATACCTGAATGTTAAACTAATGGAACATGCATTAAAGTGACCACAGACCAAAAAAAAAAAAAAAAAGTAGTCTTGTCAGATGGGTTTAGTAAAATGACTAAGCAACAACAACAACAGCAAAATCACCATATTTCACAGCAAAATAGAGCCTGAGAAAGAAGCAGACTCTCATTTCCAGATGCCAAAATAATCACAATGTCTGCTTGAGGCTTTGTTTTCATTTTTTTTAAGAAAAAGATATATTGAAAGGCATGAAAACGCAAGACAATCTGGCCAACACCCATGAAAACAATAAACTAACACAAGCGTTCTGGAGGAAGTCTGTCATTGAACTTGTTAAACAAAGACTGTAAATCCACTAATTTAATATGCTTTCAGAAGTGAAGGAAAACTAATGTTGCTTTCTCAGCAAACCCAGAAATTCAATGGGGACAGAAAAGAAGATGAGAAGGGGCAAGGGAGTGATGATGGAAAAGGACAGCGGGGAAGCAGACGGGGAGGAAAGTAACATTAGAATGGAAATTTTCAATAATTACAATTTTAAAAACACTAGAGGGATAACAATACATTTGATTAAGTTTTAAAAAGACTCAGTGAACATAAAGATGGGAAAATTGGAATTGTTAATTCTGAGTAACTTAAAGCCAAAAGAAGAAAGGAAACTGAACACAGCCCAAGTAATCCATGGACCGCCATCAAACAGACAAATATGAGCATATGGGAAACCCAGAAGGAGGAGAGACAAAAGAAATGTAATCCTAACTATTCAGGCAACAAAGGCAAGAGTATCTTACAAGTTCAAATCCAGGTTGGGCTTCAGGGTGAATTCAAGGTCAGCTCTGGCAACTAAGTGAGATAGTGAGATTTGTTTCAAACTAAAAAGTACAAAGGAGGCATGAATGAATATATATATATATATATATGTATATATATATATATATCCATCTTGTGCTTCACAAGCATGAAGCCCTAGTTTCTATACCCTGTGGGAATAAATAAATGTCCTCCATTATTTGGAAATTTCTTCAAACCATGACATTTTAAGCCTGAAAACTAAAAGACATTATTCATCAAAATGTAAGAAGACCAAAATAATTGAGAAGGGAGACCACGATACAGGACTGGTAAACCCAATATCATAAATACATTATTTTTCACCACATTGGTCTATGGATTCAATGCAAACCCAATTTAAAAAAAAATCTTAAAATGTGTGTGTTTAACAAACTTTTTTTAAAAAATCTGTATAGAAGGATCAGAGTGGTATAGCTCTTGCATTCATTCCTTGGTTCTGAAAACAAAACCCTTATGTGAAAATGAGAAAGGCTAAGAATAACCAAGATAATATTGGAAACTAACAATAAAGATAATCTACAGTATCAAATGTTACATTGTATTATAAAACTACCTTTATTGTGACAAGATGCAAAGACATTGGTGTAATGATAAATGAATAGGAAGTCTAAAACACACACACACACACCAGCATGATCAACACAAAGGTGACTTGGTAGGTAATGTAATGGAAAAAGAATGATCTCCTCCAGAAACAGAGCTGGGTCAAATAGATAACCACTACTTGGCAAAACAAGAAGCTTCCAGGATACAATGTATATAATCTTCATGACACTATAGTATGTGAAAGTTTTAAGAGAATAAAATAAAATGAAGAAAAACATAGATAAAATTTATCTTTATTAAGAGATAGTTCTTAGCTAAGCACGATGTTGTGCACATGGAATCCCAGCACTCAGGAGGCTGAGACAAGAAGATAACAAGTTTGAGTTCCAGGTCAGTTTGGACTACATAGTGAAACTCTTTCTCAAGTGAAATGGAAGAGAGGAGCTGCAGAGATGCTGAGTGGTAAAAACACTGGTTGTTTTTAAAGATGATCTAGATTTGATGGCCAGAATCCACAGTCACTGGCAATCATCAGGTGATACCCTTTTCTGCCACATGGTGGCTCACAACCACCAAGTGACACTCTTTTAGTGTCTATGGGCACCATGTAGTCGTGTACACACATATGCAAGCAAAACATCCATGCACATATATGCACAAAAATATTTTTTAAATGAGGGAGATTTCTGTATTGACATATATATATGTATAATTATTAAGCACATGAAAATCGAACAACATGACCTAATATCAATACTTGATAAAAATGGTATAAAACTATTCATATCTTCAAGATTTAACTATGCTTTATAGTTATTATATTATAGTATCTATTCTTTGTTTATAATGCACAGATTGACAGCATATGCATATATCCAAGATGTATCTTGGATAAGAGGACTGGCCAACAGATTTTATTATACTCAAATGTGCTGATTAGCACATTTATTATGATGCATCCCGAGGCAAAAATGATATATATGAGTATTTCAATTGCTGACTCCAAAATTTTGGTTCACACCACTTTCAAAAACTAAGTAATTTTCAAAGCCCAAAGTATAGTACATTGTATCTTGTGGTCCTTATAAAATCTTTCCATAACAGACTCATAAAGTCCCCTAGAGGGATGAGAGAAGGAAAAACAAGAAACAGCCTTGTGGTCTGGTCAATGTCCCAGACAGACATATGTGCAAGCTGTCACATACTCGACTAACCATGTATCTTCCCTGCAGCCTCGTGCCTTTACAACCCCTTCTCATTCTAGCAATCACTGCTTCCTAGTCTAAAATATCCAAATCACAATGTATTTAACAAAGAAACAAAAAAAAAATGATTAAATGTCCCAATTTTTCAGATACTGAAGGGTTCAGTATTTTGGAAGTAATATCCCCTGGGACTTGTTATATACATAAATAAAACTGTTTCACAGAACACAGCTTGGATGTCTCTTCCTACAGCAATAGCATGATTGTGAGTATCTCCTACTACTTGAATTTATGTGCCATCCTAAACCCATTTGTTTCTATGTCTAATCCAGAGCTTGATTAACTGCTTTGTTTCCTGTACAGAAGAAAGAAGAAAAAAAAAGATTCATTCTGCTTGCACATCCCTCAAGTCCATGTCATTGCCACCCTGCTTCCAGCTACAGCTTGAGTAGTCACATGACATAGTGTCATCTAACAGGTAAAGGAGACACAAAACCAGCACAATCTCACCCAGGGGCAGACAAAAGAGTTCATGTCCTATAAGGCAGACTTTGACCAAGAGACCAGCTTGTGAAAGCTGATGGAGGGTTGGGAACATGACTCAATGGAAGAGTGCTTGCCTACCATACCAAAAGCCCTGGGTGTGATCTCTAGCACCACATATAATAAACATACACCAGTTTTACATTCCTCCTACTGACACTGTTCTTGGAGACTACAATTTAATCTACTATGTTTTGAAAGGTTATGTCTAGATGGTAACTAACTCTTGTGTTTGCTTTTTATCTATCCTTGCCTTAGTTCCCATTTTTTTTCACTCACGTTTCCTCATATTGTGTATCCCACTAATTTATCAACAGATAAGCTTTGATTCATGGTTCTATTTTCAAGTCCCAAGCTAGGAAACCACCAGACCTTTAACTTTTAATGAAATGAGCTCTTTGATAAAAGATAGAACTTTGCTGTGCCTCAAAGATAGCAATCATAAAAATAATGTTTCTATTATGGAATAGAGTAACATATATAAATAGTTAAACCCTGATGAAATATGAAAAGCCCCTCCATAACATAAGCCCTTTGTGTGGGGAATTGTCTTGAAAACAGATGCTTACTTTGAAATACACATGTTTGGATACAACCAAGATTTTTTTTAGATTTGTTTATTTTATTTTATGCGTATGAATATTTTACCTGCATATATGTCTGTGTATCACATGCATGCCTATTGTTCATGGAAGCCAGAAGAGGATGTTGGCTCTTCTGGGACTAGAGTTACAGATGGTTGTGAGCCACTATATGAGTGCTATGAAT